GAGTTTCCTATTTATCATAAAGAAGACACGAATCAAAAACTAGATGAACAGAATCAAAAACAATAAGAACAAAAAGATAGTGAAAACCCTTACGTGAATACGAATACAAGATTCAGAACAGATAAAAAAACCAAATGTAAAACGTAAACATTTCTGAATAAATATTTGGGGATCTGCAGAAACATTAAACACAAATTTGAAATTTGCAATAGAACAAATTCAAGAAAGCTTGAAAGTAATTAACAATGGAGTTTCCCATTTATCATAAAGAAGGCACATTTATCATAAAGAAGGCACGAATCAAAAATCAGATGAACATAATCAAAAACCAGAAGAACAAAAAGATAGCTAAAACCCATAAAGGAATACGAATACAAGATTCAGAACAGATCAAAAAAAGCAGATGTAAAATGTAAATATTTCTTAATAATTATTTGGGGATCTGCAGAAACCTTAAACACAAATTAGCAATAAAACAACTTCAAGAAACTTGAAAGTGATTAACAATGGAGTTTCCTTTCGTATTGAACCATATATCATAAAACAAACACGAAACAATTTTGAGCAAAAGGAATCGGAACCCAAATACAAATTCAGATGAAACAATCAAACCCTAAAAGATATTGAAAACCCATAAGGTAATCAGAATACGACATCCAAAATGTTTCTGAGTCAGATGAAAGAACACACAATTGTGAATTGAAGAACACATAATCGTGAACTAAATACGAGATCTAAATCAAAAACCTAAATGTTTCTGAATCAGCGGGAAAAAAACACATTCTTCTTCTGGTGAGAAATCAGAGATTGAACTCACCGAATCAGGATCAACCACAGACGATTCGTTCACGATCATCGATTTCTTCAGATATTGCGATTGATTACAACGATCAAGTTGGTGAAAATATCGTTGATCACCAAACCAAGAAACCGAAACCGAAACCGAAACCGAAACCGTTTCGATCATCTCCCGACGGTGGCGTTTCTTGACCGAGACCGATTCTTCTGCTGTTCTTCAAACCCAGAATAGTCTCGATCCTTCTGCTGTCCTTCAAAAACTGTCTCTCATAAAGTGTTGAATTTTGTTGGGTTGATTAGCGATCACTGATACAAGTTGTTGGTTATTGGTAGCTTTGGGGCCCAGCCCAAATGTTACTGGATCATAGTTTATTCAAACCCACTAGCATCTCCAATTAAGGTTACATAAAATCCGACCAACTCGATCTAGATTTAAAAAAATACAATTTTGTATTACCGGTTGTGTGAAAATGAGAATTAATGAGAGAAGTGTAAGAAGAGATCTAGATACTTGATCACCTTTAATCTCAAATCCACCTTGAATCACTCTTGATATGGGAATTGATTCGGTGCATTCAAGGGTGGATATCTCTTCTTACACTTCTCACTTTAGCTCTCATTCTCACCGGAACCCAATTTTTGTACAATTTTACTATTTCTATGCAATTATATTAGTTTTTAGTTTAATATAAGTAAATTTTCTTCATAAATAATATTTCTACGATATAAAAATACTCAAGTTATTATAACGATAAATAAACATAACCATATAAAATATGACTGTCAGATCAAAACTAAATTGATTATAAATTGTTTTGAGTTAAAGTTAAAAAAATACGTTGAGAATTATTTATTATTTAAACTAGAATGGTACTTGCACAATGCAGTGAAATATATCTTCATTTGATGTTTCGTTTTATTTTTTTATCTCTGTTGGTATAATACGATTTATGTTGTTTTGATAAAGATAATGATTTTATGATTTAGTGAAGTAATTTATTTTTGGCTTAACAATAAAATTTTATAAAGATTATGATTCTGTTAGAACTCAATTATTATTCTAATTATATTTCAATTTTTTATATTTAAGATGAGATGTTTATTCTGTATCTGATTGTGTTTATCTGCAGTTAGTATATGAATTAAAAAAATAAAGCTTTAGTAAGTTATACTTACGTACAATTTACTTGTAAACTTAAAATTTAAGTAATATGAATTACTATACAATACTTCATGCATAAAGAATGATTTGTTAAATTTTTTGTCAGATGCTTTATAATATTGTATAGATATGAGATGGAAATAAAAGGATGAAGCATCTCCAAAAAAGTCTTTAGAATAGAGAAAATGGTAGTTTTATTTTCTATTTTTCTCCAACAGATATACTATATTATTTTATAAAACGAAAAAAATAAAAATAAAACTCTAAATTTAAAAAAAATCTAAAAAAATAAGAGGTGAGAAATTAATTTTCTAATCATTTTCATCAACAAAATCAAACTATTATTATATATATTATATTATAAAGCATTTGGCAAAAACTCTTAAAAATTATTCTTTATACATGAAGGACTGTTAATTAATGCATACTACTTAAAATTTAAGATTACAAGTAAATTATGCGTAAATACAACTTATTAAAGCTTCATTTTTGAATTCATATAACTAACTATAAATAAACATCTCATTTTAAATATAAAAAATCTAAAATATGATTAAAATAATAATTAAGTTTTAACAGAATCATTATCTTCATAAAAACTATATTGTTAATCCAAAATAAATTACTTCATTATTAAACCTAAATTAAATAATAATAAAAAAATAGAATTAAAGAAATTGTAAAAAAAAACAAGAACTTTTAAAAATTTAATTTAATATTAATATCAATGAATTTTTTCGAAATTTTATGATATTTTCAAATTTATTTTTATTCAAAAGTAAAAACATTATTTTTCTCAAAACCACATAAACCATATTATATCAACAGAGACAAAATAAAACGAAACATTAAAATGAAGACGTATCTCGTTATATTACACGAATACTTTTCTAATATACATATATGCATGTGAATATATATGACTATAATTGATTGAATATATAAATATTTATAAATAAACATGAAGATAAGATATACTAATTTAGAATCAAAATCCAATTTCCATTTTGCCAATCCAATCATCCATACGAAAAGATAATATAATTTAAATATATAAAAACCATATTGTTTTCTCGTATACAATCATAAAACAGACTGGTCTCACATGATCTGATCCCAAGTCTATTATTGAATACCAAATCCAATCGTTTATGTTTACCAAACAGTCGATTGATATTTGCATGTTTTACTTGCAAAACGAGGCGAGTACACGGCGAGGCAGTGCGGTGAGCGGTCGACGGGAGTGCATGACGACCAGGTTATCGAGCAGCAGGACGTCACCCTTCCGCCATTGTAGTGCAATGCACTCCTCATCAAAGATCTTAGAGGAGTCATTGGCAACATCAGCTGGCACTGGTTTACCATCACTAAACATCACTGCTTTTGAAAGATCTTGATTTAGCTTGTCTTTCATTCCTCCTGTCACCTTGTTGAACCAGATTTTACGCTTTCGAGTCTCGTCATATCGAGAACCAGGCTTCGGCCCGATGATAACCCTCACACCACCTTCTACCCACTCGAGTTTCATTCCCAACTTCGTAGCCCTGCAAAAGAACTCCATTGAGGTCACTTGTAGCTGCTTGCTTTTGGATAAAACATGTGGAATTCCATTAGATTATTCTTTAAGATTTATTTGAGATGAAAAATGAGGTTCCAACATATATTGAGGAGAACACGCCCCCTCCAATCCATGCACAGGTCCAAGGTGTCAAGAGGGGCTAAAAAGGTACAAATTGCCCTAGAGTGTCGAGTCCCTAGAGTGATAAACTTTAGCTCTGATACCATGTGAGAATATGTGGAATCCCATTAGATTATTCCCCAAGAGAGTATTTGAGAAGAAAAAGAAGGTTCCAACATATATTGATGAAAAATGGTTCAAATCTAGTTGATGTGGGACTCAAATACGTCCTCTCCAATGGAGGCTAGACGGACACAGGTGGTCCCTAGAGCGTCAAGAGGGGTTAAACGAGTACAAATTCCCCACAGAATATAGTCTCTAGAGTGATAAATATCGGCTCTGATACCATGTAAGAGTATATCGAACCCATTAGATTACTCATTCAAAAGTTATATATTGAGCGAAAACGATCATGGTTAAGTCTAGCAGACCTAAAAAACAAATTGCTTATCAATCTAACAAACCAAACCTTTCCTCGGCCACAGTCTTGTCGTCGGTATTGAAGGTGAGTTTCCAGCTCCGGCCAACCGGTGATGAAGGATCAGACTCATCTCCGATAATTCGTGTGTAAATCAATCCTTTCTCTTCCATGTCTTCGACAAATTTTGGGTGCTTCTGTTTCATCCTTTCGTATATGACATGGCTCAGAGCTATACAAGTTTCTCCTCCACTTCCTGGTTCTACTTCACAGAAGAAAAACAGTTTCGAAGGATACACAGGAGCCTGTTACAAAACAATCGTAGGTGAATTCCAGGTGAAGATCGAAGAATTCATGATTTTGTTTGTTCATCATCTTTCACCTAATCAACAGTGGATTTGCAGAATCCAAGAACAAATCAAAAATCTGAACAGTCGAATCTCAATCTGTACGGATTTGAAAAGTTGAACATATTCATCAGAATCGATCATCATCGCGGTGCTAATTGATATCTATCGGAAACGATCGATGAAAACCTAAATTCAGCTTATGGAATTGATAGATTTCATCATTTCAACAAACAGAATTTGAGCAAAAAGTAATCGAGAGAGAAGGATGGATCATACATGAGACATTTCGTGATGAAACGGAATTTCCTGATCAGGTGGAGCTTCATTAGCGGTGTAAACACGGCCAACGACGTTGGTCCTGGAGCCAGCACCGCCGATGTCATATGGGAAATTTTCATAGCCGGAGGACTCAACGACGTCGTTGAAATCAGAAGCAGAGAATACAGGGAAGCCTCTGAAGAGAATGGCACCAGATCTATAGAGTAGAGAATCTAGCCATTCTTTGTTAGCTTTAATGGCGTCAGTTAATTGAACTTCTTTTCCAATTTTAGGGTTTGGACAGAGGACAACGGGGAAGAGAACTCCATCTTCAGAGCTGTGTTGGGGTAATAAGCCTACTACTTCATGAAATAAACTCTCTTCCGGCATGATGTTCATTGTTGTATGATCAAAAGCTTAAACCCTAATCAATCCGGTGGAGATTTTATCTGTTCCATAATCCAAAATTCATATGATTGTGATGGTCAATGATCTGTTCATATTGGTTATCATGTTCAACTTCCTGTCGCTTTCGACCCAGGAAAATCTGTGTTGAGATTATTTTCTACAAACCTGTTACAAATCTTTTCAAACAACGTGGGCAGAATATCTTGACGGATCATTCCTGAGGGGCGTTTGATTGGACTCCGAACGAATCTCAACCACCATCAGCCGCCACCGATTTGAACCACCGCTAACCACCACCGTTCTGAATGAGCCCGACCACCACCAATCTGAACGACCGTTCTAAACACCACTGGTTTGAGTCACTGCTGACCACACTGTTCTAAACCACCGTCGACCACCATCGATCTAAACCATCATTCTGAACCACTAGCAAGACTACCATTTTGGACCACCGTCGACCACCACCATTCTGAACCACAACCGACCACCACCGTTATAAAATGGATATTTTGGTTATTTATTATTCAAATTTCAAAGCTACATTCTACCAACGAAATAGACAGGTTCCAAACCATTTAATATATTTCATTCCAATTTATTCTAACCAAACATGTGGTCAATTTCCATTACAATTCATTCAAAGTCAAATTCTTTTGACGTATTTTATTCATTCACAAAATATTCTGCGAACCGAACACATCCTGAGTTTCAAAAACTCTTTTTCAATCATGGTTGTGCGAGGTCAGCTTGCACACACCTCGACTAATCCCAGAGGTCTTGAAGAACAACTAAAAAAATCCTCAGATCAAACTTATTATCAGTTGAGTTTACTTCACACGTTTTTCAAAATAGGTAGCTTTTCAATGAGGTTGAGTTCTTCTTCTTTTTTGGTTTTTAATTATTTTTGTTGCATTTTACGTAAATGATCAAAAACCTTATCCGTTTAGTTAATTTTATATTGTTATTTATTAGCCAAATGTGACTATTTATCATTTAACAATTTATTAGTCGGTATTTGGGTTTTTTTAGCTAACAGCTAGATATTTTGGGATTGCTTATAAAAACAACTTATTGACTTATTCTGGTGTGATACCGGTAATAAGCACTTTTGAGTGTCTGGATAAACAACTTATACTGGTGTCAAACCGGTAATAAGGAGTTTTTGAAGAAGTTAAACCCTTCTGACTTATAATAAGTTGATAAGTGCTTTTGTAGAAAAGCATAAGTTGTTTCAAATAAGCAATCCCAAACACCCCCTTAGGAATATTTTTATATGTTTACCATCTGATGGATATTAAGAGGTCGTTTACCAACGCTTACCCCGATAAGTGCTTATTGGCAAAAAATTTATATTGTTCCCAGCTAAGCTGCCCTGTCAACAAACGAATTTCATTAGCTGAAAAGCTAGTTGTTAGCTGAAAAGTTAACCAAATACAGCAACAAAACTAGATTTTAGAATGGCTGGAATGTTTAAGCGTCCTAATAAAATATTTTATAAAACTTAAGTTTAAGGACCAAACCATAAAACGTCATATCTACAAGTGTTACAATAAGTTTATAGGATCACTTTTAGGCGGTTTAAAAAGTTTTTTAGGACGCTCTAAAAATAAAGTGTCGTATTAGCCATTTTATAGGACATTTTATAGAAGTGTCATATAAACTCATCTCTTTATATGACAATATTGTTTATAGGAGACATTTTCAGATAGTGTCATATAAAATAGCTAGTATGATACTTTATCTTAAAAACATTCTAAAAAACTTGTTGAAAAGTCTAAAATCGTCCTATAAACATATTGTAACCCTTTTAAATATGACATTTTTTTGGCTTGATCTTATAAACTTAAGTCCTATAAAACCTTTTATTAGAATGTTATGACTCAAAACTATTGGAGTTTCTCCCCCTTTCTTAGGTTCTTCATCACCAAGGAAAAATAACTTCGAGGGGAAATTTGGAACCTACCCACAAATCGGGAAAGTTCGTAAGAAACGATCATAAACATTAAAATATGTGAAACTCATTAGATTACTCTTAAAAAAAACAGTTTCAGAAGCGATTGTATGTTCCAATTAGAAAAGGGGAAAAAACCGTCAAACCGATGTTCGATTAAATTCCGGTTAGCAAGGACCACTTACAGAACCCATTACACAGATCAAAGTTGATTGTATAACATTTTCTAACATGGACCGATTAAAGCCCGGTATTTGGCTATCTTTAACAACATCTTAAAATCACTTCTGTTAATTTGGATTCAATAAAACCCGACCAAAATAATTCAAAAATATTACTTTAATAATTAAATTTAGACGCTTTAAAACCGAATAACTTGGAAAACCCAAAAACCACCCGAACGAGCACCCTTTTTATTTGATATTCTAAATCAATATCAAACGAGATGCTTATTAACCCGTACACGTACGATAATTTAACACACATCGTTTATTTAAAAAGTAATAGTTGGGAACAATATGCAATCCCTCTCTTTCAATCGATCACTGGCAAAGTGAAACGAGTATACGACGAGGAGGCTCGAGTAGTGGTCGTCGGCCATGAAGAACCGTCAAATTATTCACAATCATAAAATCGCCTTTCTTCCAAGGTATCGCCACACACTCTTCATCCAAGATTTTCAAGCAGTATTCCATAGCATCATCGGGCACCGTCTCACCATTACCGAGCTCGACCGATGAGTTTCGATTGTGATTGGTTCGGCTTGCGGGCCCACTGTAACTTAGAATCAGACTGTTGAACCATGTCTTCTTTCCACTTTTCTCATCAGATCTTATGGCTGGCATTGGACGTGTTAGAATTCTTGCAACATCCCCAATCCATTCCAGCTTTGTTCCCTGTTTAGCTGTCCTGTCAACCAACAGTGAGCAGTTGAAAAACTAGTTATTGACTGAAAAACTAATCAAACAAGGTTTTTTTCAATAAGGGGCTGTTTGGCAATTGCTGAATGATTTATGCAGAATAGTTAAGAGGTCAGAATGGTTAAGAGGGTCAGAATGGTTAAGTGCTGAATGAAATAATGTTGTTTGGTAACTGTTCTCTGAATGACAGTAAAATTACCATTTTAACCCTCTGAATGATTTAGTACTGAATGAAATAAAGCTGTTTGGCTGATATCTGAATGAAAC